GCGACGTTTCCCTGTGTTTTTGCTACTGCTCATGCATCTCCTTTTGCTGTTCCTGTTGCTGCCGCTGCTGCTGCTGCTGCTTCTGCTGCTTCTGCTGCTGTTGCTGCTGCTCCTGCCGCTGCTGCTGCTGCTGCTGCTGCTGCTGCTGCAGGATGAGAGTCCCGCATTTTTTAGGGAGTTTCGGAAGGCCTGTGCTGCTGCCCTCGGCGAAGACCTCCAAGACGAAGAACCTCTCCCTTTTGAGTAGCTGCTGCTGCTGCTGCTGCTGCTGCTGCTGCTGCGTGACGCTGCAGCAGCTGCTGCTGCGGGGAAATGGCTCTGCAGCTGCTGCTGCTGCCGCTTAAAGGAAATTCTGCATGCACGTACTTGAGGCAACTGGGTTGCTGCAGTTGCTGCTGCTGCTGCTAGCAGCAGCAGCAGCAACAAGAACAGCAACAGCAGCAGACCTCTCCCCCGCACGGCAGAACAGCAGCACTTCTCGAAGCAGCAGCAGCAGCAGCAGCAGCAGCAGCAGCACGCTTTATGTAGCTTTGTGCTCGGACGGGGCAGCAGCTTTTGCTGAAATTCTCTTTTCAGGGCGAAGCAGAGACTCAACAAGCTGCTGCTGCTGTTGCTGCTGCTGCTGTTGCTGCTGTTGTTGCTGCTGCTGCTGCAGCCATTGCTGCAGCTATTGCTGCAGCTATTGCTGCAACGGTTCATACTGCAGCAGCAAGAGCAGCCAATGCTCAGCGAGGCTACAGCAGCAGCAGCAGCAGCGGCAGCAGCAGCAGCAGCAAGGGCGTTGCTGCTGCGGTTGCTACTTAACAGTACTCCTTTAAGACAAAATAATATTTTTGTTTATATTTTATTTAGTTGTTTTATTTATTTATTTTATTTGTTTGTTTTATTTATTTATTTATTTTTTTATTTTGTTTTTTTGTTTTGTTTCGTTTCGCTTTTTCAGGTGTATAGGCAGTACTAAATAGAAATTAATTTTATTTATTATATATATGCATAATAAAAACAGAATAAATAAATAAACATATATACATATATATATGTATATATATATATATATATATGTATATATATA